CACGGGCTCTGGGAGGGGATTGTAGGGAGGGAGGAGTAGCAGAGCAGCGTAAGTGCCACTGCTTCTTTAAGCAAAGAGGAAAAAGGAAAGAGGAATCAGAACAGACAGAGCTGCTAGCTTTTGCCAAAATGCCCCCCAAAAGGGTATTGGGAAAGCAGAGCAACCCTAAAGCCACGGTCTTTTAAGAGCATGGACTAGGGAAAAAGGAGCAGAGGATCAGGTAATGGAGGGCCATCTATCCCTTCAAGAGGCTATTGAGACTTTCAGAAATAGCCCTATGAAGATAACATTAAATTGCATTTATGGAGGGAACAGATTTGATGCACTGGAGGGTGACAGAACAGGAGTTGCTGACCTGGCAAAAAAGCAGGCCTGGCTTTGGAAAGCGGGGCTTTAGGAGCATGGCAGTGCAGCAATATATTTCTTCCAGATTAAGGGGTTTAATCTTCAGGCACGTACATTCCAGGAAGGCATTAATGTTCTGCAATGAATCTCTTCTGGCAATGTGTGTTTCAAATTGGTGTCAATCACACTTTTTAAAAGGTCAAGCAGCCTTAAAAAAGTAGAGTCTACCGCTTGCAGTCAGTGGTAAGATTAAAATTATCAAGAAAAATACATTTCCCAGATTTCTGTACCTTCTGATAATTTGCTTATAAGGTATGTTTGTTATGCGTTCACAGAGATAACAAACAAGAATAAAAAGAATGTCCTAGTCTTCTGTAGGATCGCTTCTCAGCCTCTTGAAGGCCAAGATCAAGTGTAGTGTCTGTTCTTCTGAAGAACAGGGTAATCCTTAAATCATGTACTTTACATACGAGGGAATAATTTGTCTTATTGTAAAGATCCTTTCCCAGTCTCCTTTAAAAGCCAATTCAGGGCTCATGAGTCAACTACTATAATCATAGTAATTCTCCAGTATGAAGAATGGTGGTGATTTCCCTGAGGTCCCCACATCATGGCAGGCACACATCCAGACACCATGTCAGGATTCCCTTCATTTAGCTGCTGATGCATTTTTTAATCTAGCCACATTACCTCACAATTAAGAAGATCAATCAATTTAATTCAGTTGGAAAGAGTTTTTAACAGAGGTCTACATTTTTCTTGAAGACAAGATGCCTAGCTTCCTTTACACTCGTCTCCCCAGCATCTCTGAATACAGTAGCATTTGAGGATAATTGCAGAAACTATTCTCAGTGTACAAAAGAGATACTCACCTCCAGCGCATTGTGATCACAGTAAAAAAATATGGCAGTTGAGCGTTCATATATTTTGTGGCATTTCTCCCCACTGGTGTAGTTGATTTTTATTAACCCATTTTCGTAAGTCAGCTTCTCAGTATACAAACCTTTTAAAATAGAAGCAAATTACTACTTGAATCCAACTACAGAAAGCTATATCCAGTACCTTTGCATAACTACAGTCAATACTTCTGCCAGCAGAGCTACAAGGACTAGGTAAGGGACAACAGTTTAAAAGGGATAACTTTCCGCCAATCTAGTCTTGGATTATGACAGAAGTTGCAGGGGTTCGTTATATTAGACATTTTAGATACAAATAACTCTTAGCTTTGAAAGAAAGAGATACAGAAAGACTGCGACATTGAGAGGCTGTGTGTACTCTTCTGCAATTTTTCTGTTGTCGCTGTCAGTTAGATGACAATGTGCAAGGGTTCTTTCTACTCTGAAATCACCCAAACATTTTCATTGACTCCAGGAGAGAGATCTTGGAATTATTGTGGATAGTTCTCTGAAAACATCTACTCAATGTGCAGCAGCAGTCAAAACAAACTAATAGTGTCAGGAATCATTAAAGGGGGATAGAGAATATCTTATTGCCTCTATATAAATCCATGGCATGCCCACATCTTGAATATTGGGTACAAATATTGTTGCCTCATCTAAAAAAAAAAAAGATATCTTCGTATTGGGAAAAGAAGTTCAGAAAAAGGCAACAAAAATGGTTAGGGATTTGGAGTGGCTGCCATATGAAGAGAAATTATAAAGATTGGGACTTTTCATCTTAGAAAAGAGGAAGCTAAGGAGGGGGGATATGATAGATATCTAGAAAATCATGACTGGTGGGGAGAAAGTGAATAAGGAAGAATTATTTACTTGCGCCCATAACATAAGAACTAGGGGTCACCACGTGAAATTAATAGGTAGCAGACTTAAAACAAATAAAAGGAAATACTTCTCCATGAAACACAGTCAACCTGTGGAACTCCTTGCCAGAGGATGTTGTAAAGTCCAGGACTTTAACAGGGTTCAAAAAAAAAAAAAAAAAAAAAAAAAGCGCTAGATACATTGATTGAGGGTAGGCCAAATCAATGGCTATGGCCAATTTTATACTAAAATCTGTGGGCGGTGGTTCTTTATCTCTGGGAGCGCCACAGTAAAGCACAATGCCACTAAAAAGCTGCACCCACTCCCAGGTCGTGCAGCAACCCCATCCCAACTCTTCTTCATTGAATCCAACTACCATACCTGCTACTTTCTTAAAAGATGGGTCTTTCTTCTTTACTTGGCATGATGACACATTGTTCAGATGACCTGGATGAGGGCATGCTTCCGTTATTCCCTCACAGACTCTGAAATAGTAGTCGTATTCATCCGTACTCACTTTCTTCTCCTTTCCCGAAAGAGGCCTCAGATCATACACAAAACCGTACCTTGGATCTTTCACTTGACAGTTATCACCTTTAAATCAAGGTTAATAAAAGGCTTACATTGCAAATAAATTAATACAGCTATATACAAGCTATGCAGTATACACTCAGTGATATATACCCATAGTTGTGAAGTTAAACCTGCAAAGGACAGTCCTAATTAGGGAGGCTCGTGTCTTTCATTCCTAAGAACCCTAGGGAACTTTTGTTGCAAAACTTTGCTTGAAGGCCACTTCAGTTAAAGCAACTCATTTCTGTGGGTCATGTGAGAAGCTGCTTGAATTACATAGTTTTAACATTTAGTGATAATTTATTAGAGGAAAGCTCAACAATTTCTAATCGCCTCTTAAAATGGTTGGATTAAAAACTGCTTTATAATATTCCTGGTTTAAAAGCAATACTCAAATAGACTCATGAGGTAAAATATGGTCATGGGTCCGTCTAGGAAACAAGACAGAGAGCACAATTAAATAGTCAACTTTCATCATGCCAAAAGATTAACAGCAGAAGCGTGCTACGTTCAGCACCTTTATTTATTAACCATCTTCCAAGGGAGGGTGAGCAGTGAGTGAGGTAGCCAGGAGGAGAGCTGTTTTGCAGGGCAGTTTATCTCATTTCGGTCTAGTACAGGGCTCTCACACCTTTCTATAAGCATCAAGTGACAATATTGGCCTAAACCATACTTAAGGTCTGATCTGCAGATAGGACTTATGTTAAGATGCTTACCTATAGGGCCTGTATATCATATCTGTACTGAAATGCAAGCGCTAGAGTAGTTGTGGGTTAAACAGCAACTTGGAAAGCCAACCCCTCAGCTGTCTTCAGGTGTGGAACTACACTGCTTTACAATAGCTAAGATTCTGGTGCCATAGTTTTAAACAGATTTTAATGAAATCAAGATAAGTGTATTGAAAATCAGCACTGTGTATTTCAAGCTATTCCTTCAATAATGCCAAACTTACTAGAGCCTGAATAAATTCCAACGTGGTTGGCCTTTGGAGCCCAAACCAGCAGTGCTGATCCTAAAGCACTATCGAGAGGAACACTAACGGTTCAGAGTATTCTTACAGCACAGCTTCTGAATTTTGTTTATACATCAATGACAACTTAAACAGAAAAAATTAAGCATTCAGGACCACAATGGCACACCTAAGTTAACAGAAGGATTCTATGGAAGCCTGGACATTTAATATTACAGCTTGAAGTAAAGCTGCATTCAACTCCTACCAGCATGAAGGGTAAGTTTATGAAGCTGGATCAGACACCGGTACTGCTCTTGGATCACTCTGAATCACAGAATACGGTAAAAGTAAACAATGTCTCGTTGTTACCATTCACAGGTATATGGATTTTTCAGATACTAAAAGCTCTATTTTCATAACCAAGTGCTCTGAGAAGTCGTGTATGAAGGAATAAACACATTATGTACAAAAAAAACTAACATTAAGGAAGATGATCAGATTTCATGTTCAAAACCAGTTTAGAAGTTTACCTTCTGCTCTGTGAACAGGACAGGCTGCTAAGGTTCTCCAAATAAAGACAAATTCGGTGATCCATACAAAACAAACATATAGGGATTAATCACCAGTCTGAATATTTCTCTTTTCTAGGTAAGCAGACAAATTTTCCCAGCCCTACGCTGCCATGGGCTGCCGGTGTTTTCCAGACGCCAATCCTATACTGCCGCTGGCTGTTGGGGTTCCCTGGCTCCGTGCCACGACAGGTCTTCTGAGGCCCTGGATCCTATGGTGCCACAGGCACCTAAGGCTTCAGTGGCTGCTGGCCCCATGCTGCCAAAGGTGCCTGGCATTCCCCAGCTCCCTGGCTCTGCACTGCCATGAGCTGCTGGAGTTCTCCAGTCCCTGGCCCCAGCACTACTGTGAGGCTCCTCCAGTCCCGCTGTCCCCAGCCTCCAATTTTCCCCTTTCCAGAAAAAACACAAATAAAATACACTGTTAAGTGCCATAAAACTGACTTATATACGAGTTTCACACACAAACTTACTATGGTTCGATCACACTGAAAGAGGATACGTGTAGAATAACGCTGTTTATCTCTGCATGTGTCACCATTCAAGTAAGTGATACTAAGAGACCCATCAGTAGCAGCTTGAGGACTTATCTGGATAACACCAAGGTTCTGGCTCTTATCAGCATATTTCACACATGATCCTATTGCACCACCTGCAGGAACAGGAAATCTTATGCCTTCATCTTGCACTTTCATTATAGACAAGTTTACTTTTAAAAAAAAAAAAAAAAAAAAAAAGCAGAGAAGGTCCAAAAGTGTAGTACCATGTATTAATGTGAACTGGTCAGCGATCAGCTATGCAGGAAGTGTCACCAGCTCGTCCAAAACTGACAGCACATTTTATTCAGAACTTTGTTTTATTAGACAATAGACTGAAATGCACCGTGGTAAAAAAATTTTATTCATTAGTGTTTCCAGCAAGTTGTTTTACCACGTGAAGATAAATAGAACGGGCTTTTTTCAAAATGTATGTATGGCTCCCACCTTTGCTATAACATGTACTAGCAACACAGTGGTTCAATGCTAAAACAAACATAACACATCAAAGAGATAAATATCAGTTCTTTACTTCACAAAAATTACACAATTGGTGCCTAAGTTAAAAACCACAAACTAGAATGACAGTATTCTAATGCACCGCTGTCCACTTACCTGGGCACCCAGGCACATACGGCAGAGGCTTGCAAACATTCAGATAAAAAGTTCTTGTTTTTGCCTCTTTTGTAGTATCTATAGCGATCCAGGCCTCCCCCTCTTTGCTCAAGTCACTTAGATCATATTCATTGCCAGCTGAGTCTGAAAATATATTTGGGATGTACAGTAAATTGGAGGATATATAAAGCAGTCCCCCTGAGAAGCCCAAATTCCTCACTTTCATTAATCATTGTCACTATCAATATTTGCTTTTTAGCAGCCTCTCAAGATATGCTGCAGTGCATTCTCTAGGTGCCAAAAAGTTATCAGGAGGGCTTACATGTGACCAACTAAAGAGCTAAGCCACTAGAGAAAAAGGGGCATCATGTGACTCAGATGTGGATTACTGATCAAAATAGACATCTAATGTTTGAATTATTTTTCTAATGTTTTATACGCACCATTAAATAACTGCAGTTGGTCCCTCCATAAGTCACCTACTCACATTTTTTACATATTTATAAATTATAATTACATTTGATTTCCTTTTTTTTTTTTTTTTTTTTTACAAAAGATTCAAAACTAGTGCTAACAAACAAGGATTAGAAGACTTCATCCAGACTCTTATCCCTGAAGATAGAGTTTAACATTTTTTACCCTACCTCAAATTTGCACCCATCTGAAGAGAAAGCTTTACCTTTTGTTCCATTACCCTCTTCCCCTCATATGCATTTCATGAAATGTCCCCAGAGTCTCAGTGCACTTACCAGTAACCTGGCAGTCTACTGGTGCCGGGGCACATGCTAAGGCAGTGTGAAACTCAAAGAAAGTATCATGGATGCCCTGTTCACTGTTTATTTCTTCCTCCACAAATTTAAGTTCTCCAGGATACGAGTCATTACAAATAAAAGTCACAGTAAAAGTGTCTGATGCTCCTGTGTGAAGAAGAGAAAACAAATGATCTACTGTTGGGTTTAACTGAGATTTGTCTTATCTTTAATTAAAAAAAGAGCACTCCAAGAACAGTCCCTGCATAATCAACACATCCATTGTTGTCAAATTAAATTACCATATATTCAGGTTCATAAGACGACTTTTTTTTGGGGGGGGGGGGGGGGTGTTCCAGGATGAATAGGTTCTCGCCTGCCACTATGATTCTAGAAGTGGACTGCGGGCACTGAGCCCCTCAGCTCCCAGCCAATAGAAGCTGAAAGACTCAGTGCTTGCAATGAGCACCTCTATCAGCCCATGCTGATATTGACAAGCTAGGACTGGAAGTCTGACCCATTTTATAAGCCGACTCCAGATAACAGTGACTTTTTACCATTTTTCCCTGTAAGTTTGGAGGGGTTGGCTTATAAACGAACAGGCTTATGTTAGAGTATATACAGTAAGCTACAAACCTTATCTGTCAGTAAAATTCTACCTCGCTGACCATAATTTATAATAGCAAATCGAAACTCCTGAACAGTGTTTAGAGGGCCTGGGCCAAAATTAGTATTAAGATCTGAGCCAATACCCCAACTTGAACATACTTGTCATAGGAATAACAACAAATCATGGGCCTCTGAAGTGAGCATCGGTAACAAGCATACCCAGTAAGAACTGTGCTTCTTGACACCTTGATTACAAAACAAGCAATACATAGGAATACACGTCCCATCACTGTTCAAACCTCAAATTTTGTTACCATGGCTGCTGACAAGTTGTCCATGAAAATATGAGCTCTGTTATCTAAGCAACGTCAAGTAGGTTGGCTCAGACAGTAAGGAAACTGTTAGTTTTCGAAACTGCAGCACTGCTGGCCTATTTCAATGGAATAGATTCCAAGCAACCAAAGGAAAAAAAAAAAAAAAAAAGAACTCTATACTGTCAAGCTTCTCTGCAGTAAATCAGCTCCCAGCACTAACTCCTAAGGCATCCACACTGGCAAGGCACTTATTGTGCACTAACTCTTCAGTTGCTGCGCTCTGGGTAAACCACCTCTTGCTGCACTCTGGATACAGCGCTTAGAGGCCAGCATGGACACCTGAATCTTTTGTGGTGACTGGTCTCCAGAAATGACCCATAATCCCTCAAGTCCCATCTGCCTTTGTTTGGAACTCTGCTGTATGCCTTGCAGGCATATGCATATCCCCTTTCAGAGCTCCGTCTTGGACAGCCTGCATGAGGTGTTGATTTGCTCCAGGACACAGAACAAACCATTCTGGGGCAGGCATCTCTGTGTGGGAGTGAGAGCGCAAGAGCGAGACAGCTCTGTGCAAAGAGCCAGGAGGGGCTGAGATGTTGGGGTTTCCCGTCCCTCTGCCTCTAGGAGGAGTTGTTTTCTACTGCTATCTGAGCACTAGTCAGCATGCTGACATCCTCAAAACAGTCTCTCCCCTGGCATGCGCACGCACGCACCCTCCCCGACTTCTGTTGAAAAGCAGCTGTCAACGTTGGAGGATGACGATGGAGTACTGGAATTGGGAAACCTGCCCCACGTGATGCAGACTGCCCCAAGCAGCATTAAAAAACCCTTCCTAAAGCACCTTACAGACAGTTTCATAGGGATGGGATAGCTACTACAATGCACTGCTGTCAGCTTTTGCAATGCCCCAATGTGGACATGTTCCATTGTCACAAGGAGCTCAGGGTGGACACACAACAGCAGTTTTCCTTCTGTGCTCTGTGAGCAGGACACAAGAAATAATTCTTCTGCTCTACTCTGCACTGATTAGGTTGCAGCTGGAGTAGTGTCTAGTTCTGGGCACCACATTTCAAGAAAAATGTGGAAAAATTGGAAAAGATCCAGAGAAAGCCAGCAAAAATTATTAAAGGCCTAGAAAACATGAGGTATGAGGGAAGAAAGAATTGGGTTTGTTTAGTTTGGAAAGGAGAAGACAGAGGACATGATAATGGTTTTCAAGTATTCAGAAGGGTATTACAAAGAGGAGGGGGAAAAAATTGTTCTCCTTGGCCTCTGATGATAGGACAAGAAACAATGGGCTCAAATTGCAGCAGGGGAGGTTTAAGTTGGACACTGGGAACCTTAAATACTGGAATACATTGCCTAGGGAATTTGTAGAATCTCCATCTCTGGAGATATTTAAGAGCAGTTTGGATAGACATCTCTCAGGGGTGATCTAGATGGTGCTTGGTCCTGTTGTGAGGGCAGGGGACAGGACTTGATGATCTCTCGAGGTGCCTTCTAGTTCTAGTGTTCTATCAACCTTCCAATTACTTTTCATAATTGCAGGTTGTACATTTTATCTGACGCTCATCAACAGTAACATGTTTGGTTAAGATGTCACCAATCTATGGAGTGTCATTTAAAATGAAGCATAATGCTTAAGACCCTCTTTGCCTGGCATTCCTTTCTCCAAAGGTCGTATTCTTTTCCCACTGAACTCCTCCCCCATCCTGGAACCCAGGAATGTAGTAGACTCAGATATACAAGTTAACGTTTTCTAGGGCATGTTTCACCTTCAGAAAGTTAGTCTTGATAAGAAGTAGCAGCAGTCATTCAACACAGTATGTGACCTACAGCCAATTAAAATTTATTGCTCAAAATGTCTGAAAAGCTTCCCCTCCCACCAAGAAAATAAAAAATTGCAGGTAATTCAGACAGTTTTGCCCCCAAAGTAGTAACTTGGTTTTTAGTTTCAATCTGAAACAAGTTCATTTTGGTTTTCCCAATCCTTCCCACTTTTCCAGTGTGTAGAAAGCCAGGGGAGTGGATGAGGGGATGTTTTAGGTTTTTATTAAAAAGCACAGAAAAAAATATGAACAATTGAGTTAAATTTTGACACTTGTTTCTCTGAAAAATTGAGAATCTTAACTCAGATAAATTGTTCAAAGCGGTCAAAGACCATGGTGTGGAAAAGAAACCACCACCACAGAACCATAGCAAACACTAATTCATTGAAACTGAAGCATACAATTTTAAACTCACCTGATTGTACCTGAAAATTGCCTCTGTAGGTAAGAGTAAGAAATCCTTCCGAGGACAGAGAGAGGGTTTTATCCAAACCCACAATCCTCACTGATGTAACATTCTCTAACTCACATCCACCAGCTGGTTTTCCATCAATAGTGCCACATTCTGGCACAGGTCCACAAATATTTAGCTAAAAAGGAATGCGAATGAATATTCATTTCCCTGAAGAATTTAACTTTGAGAATCACTCACATGAAAGTACTATCAGAAAACAGCCTCCACTGCTTCTAGCCCACAAGAGGGCTGTCTATACACTCCCCCTGATTCTTGCTTACTTCCTTTTTCATGTACACTGACATCAAAACAAAAGGTAGTTCCTCAGTTTATGGGCCCACACTATCATCCAAAATAAAATATAGTAAAACACAGCAAAGACGACACCTATTTTGCAGCTGTCCGCATTAAAAAAAAAAATGGATTTAAAGTTTCTTTCGAGATGCACCAATTGTCATTTTGGGTATTTCCCCATATTTCTTCTCTCCCACTACTGAAGAAACTATTTAACTGCCACCCACTCCTCTCCCAAAGTAGGGCATTGCATAACCAACTTATAAGGATACCAGCACAAAGACAGGATCAGCAGTCAAACTTTCCTCTATCAACTAAGACCAGAAGGCATGAACAGACCTTTGGCTTGTTGCAGTTTGTACGTTTAAAAAAAAAAAAAAAAAAATTACCTTAAATTGTCTCCCAATTCCACTGGCTGAATAAGCTTTTTCTGAAGCTAATGGTTGCATGTTGAACAAAAAGCCACTGCTTGGATCTCTCACAGAGCAGGACTGAAAAAACATTAAGGAAAAGGGGGATGGAAAGGAAAAAGGTTAATTATCTTAAGAGATCTGAATATAAACTTTGAATTACTAAACTATATCTATGTAACATTTGTAAATTTGTGGATATACAATAGTTATTTCCATATGTATATAATTGGTACAAACAAATGTGATTACTCCTCACACATGGTGGATGACTCATTGACTCTCCCTACCTAAAAAGATGAGACGTTGTATACGAGTGTAAAATAACTTCAGCTTTACAAATACATTTCATCATCAGGATGGAGCTAATAAATTTAATTTAGACCAACAGTAGTAACAGTAACACCAATTTCTATTCTTTAGCGCAATGCAAGGACAGCTGCCCATTTACTCTTTGTGAAGCTAGAAATCATGCATTACTGGTACAAATGAATATAATGCTTTATACAGCAAGTCTGAAAAATCTTAAGGAGAACTGGATGAGGAAAGAATGCATCAATGAAACTATAAAAGACAGAGATTTTGCAACATTGTCACTAGTTTAGATCCAATGCAGGATGCACATGAAAAATCTGAGGGTTACTGAATCGCCAGTGTGGAATGAGTCTGATCTACCAATAGATATTTACAACTCCTGGTGCAGTTTTGATAAATTGAACATAAATCCTTAGACAGCTATAATACACTTGGTAGTTTGTTGACGTCAGTAGGGGTGAAAACAATTCAATGGTCACAAAAAGTAAGTTACCCTTCTCTCCAGGAGTAGTAGTTCTATGTCAACATTCTAGTCTATTAGTACGGCCACTTGGGAAAATTGCCTTAGTGCTTCTCCTGATCTGCCTGCTCTGATCTCTTAATGGAAGGCTTCACTCTTCAGCACGGGTGTGCATACGGGGTGTGCCAGGTGTGCCCAGGAACACCCTAATATCTTAGGGTTGCCAGGTGTCCAGTTTTCTACTGGACAGTCCTGTTTTTTTGGGCTCTGTCAGGTAAAAAAAATCCAGAAAATACCAGACATGTGCAAGGTCCGGTATTTTCTGGTTTTCTGACTGGGCGCTGGGAGGCCTGGCAGGGAGAGTGGCTGGGAGGTGGGGCGCGATCGGCGCTGGGAGCCCTGGCTGCATGTGAGAAGGAGGGGCAGCCTGGTCCGTGCTCCTGCGCGCTGGTCAAGCGCATGGTGGAGCCACAGCCGGACTGACTTGTGCTTTGCCTGGACCGTGTGGGGGGCGGGAGCGCCCTGGGATCTGCAGTGTCCAGGTCAGTCCTGCTCCCCACCGGCTGATACACTCCTCGCCCCCACTTCTCCTCCAGATTTCCCCCGCCCCTTCCCCCCAGCTCAGCTTTCCCCCCCCCCCCCTTCTCCCAGCCAGTCCTATCCCCCCATGAAGTGTGTGTGTGTTTATTTAATATAAAGACTACCTGGTAACCCTATATGGTCTCAAAAAAAAAAAGTGGCTTTGCGTTTTAATTTGATTGCATGATACGCTCTTAGTTTTAAAGTATGGATTGCTGTATTATGCAATAAGCACTGAATTGCACATGTAAAAAACAAACTAAGTAGTACAATGTCCCATAATTATGTTTGTATTTAAGTAAAATTTAGTTAACTAAACTTTTTTTTTTTTTAAATTAAGTTTATTTTTATTCAAACAAACTAAAGGATGTCCTTTATGATTGAGTATTAAATAAATGTTTGCCTTAAAAAAAATTCTTTAGGTGCACATCCTAATGAAATGTGCTGCGCGCACTCCTATGCTCTTGAGTATTCCAAGTCCAGTCCCTTTCAGTAGCTCTACATTAACTTTAAAAAACTACTTTTTCTGCAAAACTGCTTTTATCAATGTGAGAAAAAAGGGACAACCAGCAGCACAGAGCACAAAGAACATTTTTAATGGCTACTAAATAGCTCTCTCCACTCTCACCTGAGTTTCATCTTTTGTTGTTGTGACTGGGCAAGCAGCTTCCGTTTCCCACAGAAAGGTGACAACACATTCTCGATTATCAATAAACCTAGGGCTGCTACTCTGAAAATTCAAATTGCAAAGAGAACAAAATCAGAGACTAATTTCAAGTGCAGCTGTGTTTCAGCTTATGTCAAAACTCCCAATTCTTTAGACATTTGCTATTTTAAATAAGAGTTTGGGGGCAAATTCTCCCTTGATTGAGAATCTGGCTTAAAAAAGTTACTGAACATGAACTTTGTGAAAAACTCTTCACTAGGGAAAAAATAAAACTTTCAGTATGCAAGATGGCTACATTGATCAAACAGTGTACACTGAATAGCTAGCTGCATTAAACACCTGCATTAACAAAAAAATCTTAGTTATAAACTTATCCAATTAAAAATTAGAGATTTCAGGACTTGGAAAAACTTTGCAAGCAATTAAGTAGGGCCATCAAGTGCTAGAGCATTGGGTTTAACTATTTCAAATGAAAAATGTTCAGAAGCTTACTGTGAAAGAATATTGTAAGTCCAATATTACTCTGCAATATTTTGCTTGTGTGTGTGTTAAAATTCACACAAATATGTCCTTATATCCCTTATATGAAAATACTGAGCATGATGCTATAATACAGAGTCATGCAATATTTCAAAAGTTTAGGGTACAGCAAGAACAAACTTAGAAGAATTATTCTGGGCCTTCTGCCTTAACTCCACATAAACAAGGGAATTCAGATTTAAGTCAGTTATTGAATTGTAATTTCCATATGACCAAATGGGAAACTGTTGTATAGTCATGACAAAGCATAGACACAGTGAAACTGTTAAACCTGGTTGCCTTATGAAATACAGTACACAGGTTTCCTCATTTTGGATCTAAACTCTCTATGGTTGCATACTGTAAGTTCTCCAATGCACGTGTAACTTAAAACTAGTGGAGTTACATCTGTAAGTCCTCATGCATATCAGTGTCATAGGAGAGCTAGTCTAAAATATTGCCTCCAGATCACACCATTGACTTCTCAATTGCTATAGTCTTGTTCGTTAGCTAGGTATTTAAAAGACTCTAAGTCAACTCTAGATACGACTGCTGAAGCATCACAGTGATTGAAACAAAAAAAAAAAAGCGCCCACTATTCAGTCTTCAACATGTCCCCAGTAGAACACTGCTTCAGCACCCCAGACAGAGCCTTAGAAGATTAATATAATTAGGAGACTACTAAAAGCATTTCCATCCTTACAAAAGTGCCCTTGGAGCAGGTAAAATGGATTATAGTTGTATAGGAGGTTCTCTTCCCATCAGAATTGATGCACATGGAACCATTTGTGTAGGTTAGGAGGACTCGACCACGTCTTTCGATTACTAGGCCTTTGCTAGCAACCCCCAGGTTACTAATGGAAGTGGTTTCTGAAAAGGAATCCTAGAATGAAGAAAAAAAAAAAAAAAGATTGCCAGTGAAACAGTCTTCGCTTCTCAAAAAGTAAAATAATAAAATCAAGGTTCCCTTTCTCTGCTCTACCCAGAGTTTTTTACCAAGCTAAGATGACATTCTGTAATATCCTTTTTTCAAATATGCAGTCAACTATGAAACAGCAATGGAGAAATTAAGAAATCTATCTTTCCCCCGCCCCCTCAAAATGATCTTGACATTTAACAGTCCCCCCAAAGATAGATCAATTCCATCTATAAATCGTGCTTTACAGAAAGGTGTCTAAAAGGCTCCCTTAAACCTTTACGATCCCTGTCTGTCAGCTAACTACAGCTCAACAAAAGGATTTTGAGTATGGGATCCCAAATTGTGGTACTTGTCCCACTTGTGATGCGAGAACTTGACTGATCCAAATAAATTGACTGAACAAGCTTTTAAGAATATGGTACAAGACTCGGTTGGGACATCACTGTTTTGGAGAGCCTGAAAAAGCTTTCATCTGACATCTAATGCTTCTGCAGTTTGTCCTGCTCATGAGAGATCAAGCAGTCATGAACAATAGGGTATTTCCCCAGAAGTGCCCTATTAGGTTCCCATAGGACAGAGCCCAAGTAGATTTCCGAGTTTGCAATATGTTCATCCAGGCCAACAACCACCACCCTCTGCAATTGCAATGTCCAGGAAAGTGAAAGACTGATGACAGTGGACTATTATGTAGGTTTCCCTACTGTATCTCAATCCTGATGCAAAACCAATTCATGCTGCCATTCCTCCTGACAGAATTCAGCACCCCAATTAATATAACATCCATTATTCTGTACCCCCTGCACAGAAAAAACTAAAATCTGCCAGGGACAAGCACTTCTTCCCCAGCAGCCCAGGCAGCATGTTCCTTCTCGGAGGGAAAAGGGGGAGACAAGCCAACAAGTGAAAGACATGAGTCTCTCTCTAGAAACTGCAGATTGTTGAAAGGTGTAGGACTTTTTATTGTGTGTGATGCAGGCTATAAGTTGAAATGTAGCAGCCCTACATGTGTTTAGGAAATGCTGAATATTTGTAGTTTAAAATAAATTACCAAAACAATTGAAACTGGTATGATTATATCGCATTATTTTGACAAAATAAATTTGGCAGAATTTAAGTTTATGGTGCAGAATCTTCGCAGTATCAACTGCATACAGATTGCAAGTTGTGCATGGCAACAGATGTCAGTGGTTTTTTGTTTGCAAGGGGGCAGACTTGGATAGAGTCTTGCAAAGAAACACTTTGAAACATTTTTCAGATGTATAGCTACACAAAATACTTGTATTGCCCTCACTATCAAATTTGAGTACCTCACAATCATTCATGGATTTTATCCAATATACCTCTGTGACTTAGGAAGTTCTTCCCATTTATAGAAGTGGGGAACTCAGGCACAAGGAGACTAAGGCTAGGTCTACACTGAAGAATTAAGTCAGAAAAAGAAACGCAATTTGCAGTATGCAAATTGTGTATCTTTCTCCTCTTTACTGTCGAAAGAGGCTTTTCCGAAATTTGGTGCATCTACGCAGCACCCCATTTCGGAAAAAAAAGTCCTCTTTTGACACATCCTTCTTCCTTGTAAAACGAGGTTGATAGGGATGGAGAAAGAGTGCATCCACGTTTTTGAAAATTTTTCCAAAAAAAGCAGATGCGCTGCTTGGATGCGGCACTGCTTTTCTGGGATACCTTTTCTGCAGTCTAGACAGAGCCTAAGACAGGTGTGGGCAAGATATGGCCCGGGGGGCTGCATCTGACTTGTCAAGCCTTTCAATCTGGCCAGCAGCCCACCCCACTGAACTCACAGGCAGGGAGCAGCCCCAGGGCTCAGAGCAGTTGGCAGCTCCATCTGACTCTGTGCTGGAGGTAGGGAGAATCTTCATGTGCAGCAACTCCCTCCTTCACCCAGACTCCTTCTCACACCCCATACTTTCTCCTGTACCCTTTTTATCCCTTACCCCAAGCTCCCTTCTGCACCCAAATGCCATCCCAGACCCCGCATCACCTCCATAGAAAAGTGCAGCCCTTGACCACTTACCAAAACCTTGGAGTGCTCCCTCCTCCCCAATCAGAAATTATTGCCTATCCCTGGACTAAGGGTATGTCTACCCAGAGGAGAAAAACGGTACCAGAACTCAGATGGACAAGAAACAGCTGACGGCTAAAGTTTGCTTTTACACTTTAAAGCCCTTCTCTACCACAGTCCATTCTAATGTATAAAATAAAGATCTAGACAAAGAGGTTGTGGATGAGTGAATAGAATGCTATAGGATTTTTGAGGCTTCCTTTCAGTTTGCACAGGATCTGGAAGAGAACTTGCATTGGAGTGGGTACAAGGCCTGAGGCACATTAACAGGAAGATGTCTGCATCTGAAAGCAATAAACTGTCATTTTTAGATTGGTTTAACACAAAGCAGGAGGGTGACTGAAATTCTTGGATGGGGACCTCCCCCTCGCTCTTACTAGAATGTTCAGCTGCTGGCTCCTGCAGCGAATTGCAGGTGCATACGCTGCTCAGGACACTGATCGATAACACCGGCTGCACTACCTCCACACCCCAGCACCCAGCTCCCCAACCTTTTGTCTTGTTAAATAAGTAAGAGTTTACCAAGAGCGGACCAACACTCATTGGATTTTATTTTTTAAAAGCTTGTGGGATTTAGATGGGGGAAGGAGGATTTTGAGATTCTGAAGAAATGGCCAGAGTTTCCTGACTTATTTTAAGGCAGAACATTATGCATTATCCATCCTCACAAGATAAATTGTATGTGCTGGCTGCAAAATCAAGAAGGTACACAGGGAAAGGTGAGTAACAGAGAGGTGACAAAAATGGGAGACTGGTGGTTACAGTAAGCCAGCCCTCAAGTAACAATGTAGTTTAAAGGAGAGAAACATTTTGCTCCTAAGAGTACATTTGGTATTACTCTAGATGAATGGCCTTCTGAGGGATAGTTTGACCCTTAACTATTAGGGTTATTAAACTACAAACCACAGTCCTACTGGAAGACCTGCTATTTTGCTAATGATTACAACAGTGCTTATAGTCCCCCCAGACATTATTTTTACCTTCCTACAGAGCAATTTCGGCATTTAAAATGGATCTTTGACCCACACGTAACATTTGATGTATTAACTTTTGTGGCTGAGGTAAAAGTGACACTCACATGATCTTTTTCATACTTCATCTGACAGACTGAAGCAGATCGATCGCATCCTGGAACAGGAGCCAGAGGACGGCAGACATTGATGTAATATTTCTTGCGCGCATTTGGTTCGGAGTTGTCCATGGCATACCAGTTTTCACCCCGGTCTTCAGATTTCGATAAGCTGTATTGCCAAAGTGGAATATTTATATTCTTAAATTACAACACACATCTATCATATAAATGGAGAAAGCTAGAGAAGTAGGAAGAAGCAAGCAAAATTCATTCTTCAAAAAGTTATTTAACAACTTTTTCAGAAGCAGCAAATACAGTATCTCCTTTACTTGCTACAGTAGACTTCCAATTATCCGGCACCTTTGGGTCCTAGGTGGTGCCGAATTATCAGATATGCTACAGTATCGGGAGGTCCTGGTACAGGTGCATGGCTTGACAGCTGGCCAGGACACAGTCTCCCTCCCTTTCCCCTTCCCTTTCCTCTTCGCTTCCACTCCGTGCTGTAACCTGATCCTCCTCCCCTTCCACTCTCCTTTCCTCTTTGCTGAAGCAAAACACTCTTCTCCGAAGCAAAACACTCTTCTCCATACTGTAATACAATCCCACTCCCCCCTCCCCAACCTTATGCTCGGTCTGGGTACAGCCGGCACATGCGCTGAGTGGCTGGCTTTTTAATCAGCTTGACAGAAGCACTTGACATTTTGATGCCAGAGTATCGGGAGTGCCGAACAATTGGGTGCCAGCATATTGGAGTTTTACTGTATTATCATTGCAACAGTATAAAGTAAACTAGGGACTAAATGTTTGGCAACAAAACCTCTAACGGCACTTTCTGTGCTTGTTTGCACATAAAGAGACAAAGTTATGATTGCAGATTTTTTGCGATCAAAGCAGGGCAACACACACAATAAATGCAGGACACTAATTAATTTGCACCTATGACAGGCACAATGTGCCTTCTAAAAATGGGTATAGTCTTTCTTATTAACCCTTTACAATTCAAGATGGTCAAGAATGATGAGTTTCTATTCAGCGGAGAAATTAATTTACAGTGAAACTTTGCTAGATAGGACATTAGTTTTTATATGCAGGTTATATTCTTCAATTACAAGTCTATTTATCCTACCTTGATAAATCATACTGTTCCATGGTGTTTGGATCAGTCGCAACACATTCCAATGGCATCTCTGGGCAGGCATATTTAGTATACCATTTAAAGTTGTACGTGTACTTGTCTTCTACCTATGTTACCAGAATCATAGGAAGACAGAATAGCTCACAACAGAACAGGCTGGATAAAGGCTGGACCTCTCTGGTCTGGCACCCTTGGAACCGGACCCATTCCTAACAAGGGAACTTGCTGGATATGGGGAGGTTCCCTGCCACCGGCCTCCTAAGACACTGCCCTTCTCTCCAGGTGGCTCTGCTCCAGCTCTGCCGTTACAGGCTTGGGCTTGGCTCCGGCTCCACTGCTGCCAGCTGGCTGAGGGTGTCTGGGGACAGAGCTCCCCAGCTGCTGTAGTCCCGCTGTGCCGAATTGGAGCGTCCCAGGGATGGTGCTCCATGGCTGTCCTGCTGCTGCCGTAGCCAGGAAACCCCGATTTGGTGCGGGGCTCTATAGGTGCCCTGCTGCTGCGCCCAGCAGGCGCTCCCCAGGGACAGAAGCTAACTGGTCCCGATGGTGTGGCTCCCTGCTGCTGGACTCCCAACCAGCTCGCACACCTGGGTGCTGGGCAGGGCTCTATGGTCCAGCAACATCCAGGATCCTGCCAAACCACAGATGCTGCTGGACCAGACAGTCCTGGATTTAGGAGTCCAACCTGTCCTATGAACGGTTATGCCTCAACTTGGCTAAAATGGGTCAGTTGCCTTTTACATGGCAAGTATCCAACCTATCCTCTCTCAGGATACCAAAACACAGGATCCAGAGCTCCTGTCATCCACTCCAGTGTGTATATACCCCAGTTATCACCAAAACCACTCTCTTCAATTCATTGAGCATCTTTCATGCCACAAGATTCCCCAGCTCTTTAATAAGTCACTCCTGCATGCAGCTTCAGACATTGGGATGCAGCCTCCTCCGCACCACGATAGGCGACTATATTTTTATCCAAGTGATGCTACAGAAGAATATAAAAGGTATGGGCATGGCTCCAATAACCACAGTAGTTTGGCACATGAGCAGAACATAGTTATTCAAGCTGGAAAGTGGCCAAATCAGGGCAAAATCCTGCACGCCAGACAAAAAAAAACTTTGCCGCTCTCAAGGTTATGACTGTAACCAGAGGCAGATGCTCTGCAACAGTAATTCAAAATGCCTTATCAAAATTCCCTCAGCTACTGGGAACTTGAGAGTCCTTTGTTTTACACAGGTTTCACAGACAATGAAGAGGGTCATTAGAAATTCTAGAAATGTAGGGGTTTCTATTCACCTCCCTCTTGCTCATTTGAAAGTTCTTACCTGGTATTCAGGCAGACCAATTCCAGCTTCACGGTCACATAAGAAAGTTATAAGGGTAGATCGCTGCGTTTTCTTCTCATTGTTGTAGGTTGAACCATTTTTGTAGGTCAACTGAATCATTCCATCATAGTAAGAAAGTTTGGAACTGGGTTCTCCTAGACTCCAGGTATTGTCAGTGCTAAAAGGCAAAAAACAAAAGAACAAAAAAAAACATACAAGTTGAAAATAATTAATTTAAATCAAATGCTAACTGAACTCATAAGACACCACCTAAAAAGCTAGGGTGTGCGCACCCAAACAGTACCCTTAGAGGGAAAACCAAGTTTTCAAAATGCTAGATCTGAGACACACAACTATTAGCATACTGAGTAACACCCTCATCAGTTGAAGTGGAGCTCTACTTTGAAAATGACAAAGTATGCAGCAGTGGGGGAGGGGGTTCTAGGTTTATTGTATCTTAATGGCTTCCAGAACAACTCCTCTCCGTTTACAGGTAAAGATGACAATGTTATCCAACTTTTAGTCGTGCTAACTGAGCCTGCGATTTAGCAGCATAAAGGGGCTCACAAACGCAACCACACACACAACCTCAACCACTCTGCAAGCCAAATTCTGGCTCAGTCATACTTATCCAACTTAGCCATTTTCAGTGAGGACGGAATTTGGTCCATTGAAAAATTGTAAAATAAGTTCCTTATTATTCAATAACTATCACTTTTCAGAGCCAAACTGCTCTTTAAATGAAACTTAGGTTTCCAATCAGGTGGGAGGTATGAAGGGAGACATTTTCATATACTGGTAAAGGTGTTCTAAGCAGTACGTCTTAAAGAATTACAGGACTTCATAATTAAACTTCAGCAAGCTAGTTACTTCATGACCACAGTTAGAGAAGGGCACCTAATGCACTATGTACAACTACTGACCAAACAGAGATTACATGAGACGAAAGATACTTGCCCTTTTGCTACTTGACAGGCTGCCACTGATTTTGACTTACAATGTTCATCTGGCACACCACCACAAATATTTATGTAGAAATCGTAATCCGTTGTGTTAACAAAATAGCTGCCACTTTTCTTGATTAATGGTGACAAGTCAAAAGAAAACCCTATTGAGAAGCAAACAAACAAAACCACTTGTTCAGTATGTGCAGGTATGTTTTCTGTTTTCTCCCTTTGACTGTCCTGAAAACTCCTGGACAATAGTCAAGACAACTATACTATATTTTCTAAACCAAATCCATAAATACAGGTAACATTTGACTAAAGCAGATGGTATTTTTAATCTAAGCGGAATACTCTATTAAGAGCTCATGTTAATTCTTATGCACAACTGTCATGTCTTTCTACCTTTCAGAATTAATTTCCACATCATATGCCTGGCTAAATTGCATGTGTGACTGCAAATGGAATATTTGCACGTGCATTAACCTAGCAGCTATTTCCACATGCCTACTCTCATAGATCAAGCTTCAAATGCAAGAAAGAGTACATACACAAGTCTAGGATTGTCAAATAAGAAATTCCACATAGCTGAGATTTCTCCACTAACAAAAAGCTTGAATCCAGCCTCAGTAGATGTTGGATACATACCTGCTTGAGCATCAGAGACACTGCAGTTGTCTCCTTCAGTTTTAGAAAGGACACAGGCAGCAGCTGTATACCACTCAAACACATACAAACAGTCATCACTCTTCAAGTTAAACACAGGAGCACTTTCTAGATCACCTAGTATTTAAAAAAAAAGAATGGTATGGAGCTGAGCTGTCACATGGATTGTCACTGATTTTCAAGTCGCTTCTGCTAAGCCTAGTAGCAAATGGCCTGAAACAAGACAAAGCTTTCAGAAGGCTGAGCTATCAGTTCTCTTCTCCCACTGAACGCAGGTGCTGGTCAAAAAAGTACCCTTTTTATTTACCATATGCCCTCATGACTTGCAACACCTCTTAAAAAAAAAAAAAAAAAAAACTGGATTAAAAATTCTCCTCCACATCATGTCTACAGTAACAATCCTATTTCTCCTTTACTAAATCTAGGATACATGAACGTGATGCAGTTCTGTTACAAGAAAAAGTAACAAGGGTCAAAGCTGGGTATAAAGGTGGCCACCATTGCAGGGGCTGGGACATTCACTCTGCAACCTCTCTACCTGGACTTTGGCACATCTGAAGCCAGGACTGCCCCCCCCCCAACTTCCACTCAGCCACCGTCTCTCCTGTCATGTCAAACCAGTCTGATAGCTTTTTTTGATAGGATAACAAGTCTTGTGGATAAGGGAGAAGCGGTGGATGTGGTATACCTAGACTTTAGTATGGCGTTTGAAATGGTTTAACATGATATTCTTATCAATAAACTATGCAAATACAACTTAGATGGGGCTACTATAAGGTGGGTGCGTAACTGGCTGGATAACCGTACTCAGAGTAGTTATTAATGGTTTACAATCCTGCTGGAAAGGCATAACAAGTGGGGTTTCGCAAGGGTCTGTTTTGGGACTGGCTCTGTTCAATACCTTCATCGACGATTTAGATATTGGCATAGAAAGTATGCTTATTAAGTTTGCAGATGATACCAAGCTGGGAGGGGTTATGACTAATCTGGAGGATAGGGTCATAATTCAAAATGATCTGGACAAATTGGAGAAATGGTCTGAGGTAAACAGGATGAAGTTTAATAAAGACAAATGTAAAGTGCTCCACTTAGGAAGGAACAATCAGTTTCACACATACAGAATGGGAAGCGACCGTCTAGAAAGGAGAACAGCAGAATGGGATCTAGGGGTAATAGTGGACCACAAGCTGAATTTAAGTCAGCAGTGTGATGCTCTTGCAAAAAAAGCAAACACGATTCTGGGATGCATTAACAGGTGTGTTGTGAGCAAGACACAAGAAGTCATTCTTCCGCTCTACTCTGCGCTAGTTAGGCCTCAGTTGGAGTATTGTGTCCAGTTCTGGGCACCGCATTTCAAGAAAGATGTGGAGAAATTGGAGAGGGTCCAGAGAAGAGCAACAAGAATGATTAAAGGTCTAGAGAACATGACCTATGAGGGAAGGCTGAAGGAATTGGGTTTGTTTAGTTTAGAAAAGAGAAGACTGAGGGGGAACATGATAGCAGTTTTCAGGTATCTAAAAGGGTGTTGTAAGGAGGAGGGAGAAAATTTGTTCATCTTGGCCTCTGAGGATAGAACAAGCAGTAATGGGCTTAAACTGCAGCAAGGGAGGTTTAGGTTGGACAGTAGGAAAAAGGTTCCTAACTGTCAGGGGATTCAAACACTGGAATAAATTGCCCAGGGAGGTTGTGGAATCTCCATCTCTGGAGATATTTAAGAGCAGGTTAGATAAATGTCGATCAGGGATGGTCTAGACGGACCTTGGTCCTGCTGTGAGGGTAGGGGTCTGGACTCGATGACCTCATGAGGTCCCTTCCAGTCCTAGTATTCTATGATTCTCCTATGACTCACATTAGGCACCTTCCAACCAGCTTGAGCCCCTCTGTAATGAACAAGGGGAGTGCTGACCAGCACCTGGTGACTAAGGGGTTAACTTTGCTTGGTACCTGAGTGTTGGCCAGAGAGCCGGGAGAACCAATGGAGACAGAGGGCTGAAATTTGAATTGGATATAGGTTCCCTGGCCTGCTTTGTGTGGGAGAGTTAAACCAGGAGTTGAGACACACAGAATGATTTAAACCCAGGCAGGACTACCATGCTCTCGCCCAACTCCCGCCCACACACCCGCCCCCCAGAATTCAGGGCATGGGAGCGGACTGAACAAAGAGAGAATTAGACGCGAGTACCAGGGAAACGTGAGTCCAGTCACATTCAGGGTAATTTTTCTTTATTTTGTGGTTTGGTTTGAACTGCTCTGTGTGATTCTATGCTGCCCTCCCCATTTACTACCATCTAAGCATTGTGCCAGAGATTTTTCCCCATTTTTTTAATTTGTTTTCCTCAGTTGCACTGTAACATCTAGCAACCAAGTATGCGTTATCAAGTTTATCTTCATTTTGTAGTTTAAAAAAAAATCACTTTTTAAGGTGATTATTTGATGTGTGTCCTGGAGGGTCTGTCTGTATTTGCCTGCCTCTGACTGAGGGGTCAGCTACCAGAGACTGCAGTTCAGTCTCCCCCCCGCCTTTTATTGTTCAAGGTATTTTGGGACAAAACTGGGGGTGGTTTCAAGTGTTCACCCCTGTTTTATTAGAGATCACAAGCACTTGATGGTGACAGCAAATTCCTCAAAATCTGTGTATTAGTATTCTGGGGGGACGTTTAGGTGAACTAGTAGTGCCTGTAGAAGCAAGGTTTTGAAGTTCTCTTGTGGGCCCCCACCTTCTGCATTCAGCAAGCCAGAGTGGGGAACAGCCCTGACAACCTCACACCAGGATCTCTCTCCAGATACAGAAAACCCAGAGTGGAGAGCATGAAGGCTGCACAGCCCAGCCCAGCCCACCCCACTTTGGAGAAAATGCCCTGCCCTCAAAAGCCAGCTGTTAGGGGCAGCCCAGCACTGCTTCCCCACCGCAAGAGCCACTTGCATACCTCTGAGGGAGTAGGAGCTCTATAGCCAAACTGCACAGATACCACTTGCCTGCTGTCTAGGCTCCCTCCACCGCCCCTTCCCTCTGACCACAATTTGCGGAGCTCTCATCCCAGTTTCAGAGTCACCTATTATTCCCTGGCAACCAGTATCCCCCCAGTGCTCTCATTTCCCTAGCCCCAATCTCTCTCTGCCCTCATCCCACAATCTTGCTTAACCGCTTGCTCTCTCCTGCCCCCTTTTCTACTAAACTCAAGGCCAGCATGACATCTTCCTTGCTCCTCCAGTTACCTCATTCCTTCTCCACCCTGTAGCTCTCATCTTCACACACACTGCCAACTTAGCAGTTTTGTTGCTAGCAAAAGTCACGGATGCATTTTAGAAAAGCTTTTGCCAAAGGATTTGTAATGGTTTTTGAAACCCTCTACTACTATTAAAGTTGTCAGGCCCCAGCATTGCAAATCTGAGCACCTCACACTCTTCAGTGTATCCTTAACTCACATAAGTGGAATGCAAAAGTGCTCTTATCCCAATTTTACAGATAAGGAACAGGTAAGCAGAAAGGCTAAGTAACTTGCCTAAGGTGACAGGACATCTGTGGAGGAGCAGGGACTTGATCCCAGGTATTGTTAGTCCCCTGACCACCGGATCATCATTCTACTTCACATATTTTGTACCTATAGATGTAAAAAAACCCTAACTTTCCCAGTAGAACAATTCCAGAGAGACTAAATAGTTTCCACTTTTACCTTTTGTTATCAAAAGCTTAGGAAACAAGCAGATGTGAACATTCTCACCTGGCTTGCACACAAGGGTTATGACGGTTTTGATTTTCTTGTTCTGCCCACAGCTGTCGCCATCTGAGTAAGTAAGCTGAATCCGATCTCCAACTATTTTGAGAGGAGACATAGACCTTCCTAGATTTTTAGGCTGGTTATTTTTATCTGGGGGCAGAAAGAAGAGAAAAGAGTTTACTTTAAAGCAATAGCTGTTTTGAGATTTCCTTGAGCTACAAAACAGCTGAATCCATATTGAAATGGTACACTGGGAGTAGGGAGAAGGGGTAGAATCAACACTGAGGAATTTCTGTTTGCATAATTACTTTATGGCAATTTTGCTATTTTACATTTTAATAGATATCACAATGCTTAGAAACAAAGTGAAATGTACAACAATATCAATCAAGAACAATTGTTCTAACAAGAAATGAAATTATGCTTATGTTGTTTTTTCCTGGGCTCTTTTTGGGGGCTCAAGGCACCACTTTATCCCTATT